ATGATGCAACGACAGTAGCCTTACATGGCTTCTTCCACCGACCACCGTCGGTTCTTTACCGGCATCGTTGAAGCTCGAGAGAGGCTTGCCGCTCAAAGGAGTTGATTTGGACGAGCTCAGGGCACGCGACGTGACACGTGCGAAGGAGAGGCTTGCCGCTCAAAGGAGTTGATTTGGACGAGCTCAGGGCACGCGACGTGACACGTGCGAAGGCGAGCTTGCATCGACAGTTTCTTTCTATGGGCGTCGTGGACTTCCCCGTTGAGGAGTCCTCAAGTCCGTTCGTTGTCGAGTAATTTCATTTCGCCCTTTTTTCGGGTCATTATCGGCGTCTTTGTCAAGAATAAGAAATCAGTTCTTTTATGAAATATTGTATGTATGAATTTAGATAACCTACGATTTCTCAAGATTCTTTTTCATTTTTTTTGGCAGACAAAGGTTGAATTTTTGTCTCATTATAATTTGATTGTGCCATTGTAATTCTATTCTAATGTATTTCTTGAAATTGAGGGAAAATATTTAATTCATTTGTTTATTTTTTGATATTTGAGGTTTGATCTATTTTAGAAGAACAATTATTATAATTAGCAATTTTAATTTGGGTTTTTTGGGTTATAGGCTCTACATCACTCGTGTAAAATTAGGAATCAAGAACGGGTTGTTTGTAGAGGTTACGCGTTGGTTGTGAATGATACACATTGGTGTAGGCGTCCAAAAATGTCTATAAGCTCTCGTATACAGCTCGAGACGAAGAGGAGGCGATAAACGTCAGCACTCAAAACGAGAAGATTCACCAAGTGGCCAGCGTATTCACCGGCCACCACCAAGTAGCCCGTACACTCACCAGCCACTAAATCGGCGAACCAAGTGGTCAGCGTGCTTACCGGCCACCACCAAGTGGCCCGTGCACTCACCAGCCACCAAATCAACGTACAAGTCAGTGAAACCATGAAATACATGCAAACAACGGAACGAACCGAACTCGAAAAAAACAAGAATGCCAAATGGTGGCTCGGCCAATGTCAAACCACCAAATGGTGGCTCGGCCTTAGGCGCAGCCACTTCGGTTGAATACGGCCAGAATCAGGACCTTCTTGTTCTTGGTTTTTATTATGCGATTCTTTCGAATTTGGGTGTTCAACTTCTCTCGATGTTGTTGTTAGATAGTTATTAACTGAAGAGTTAGAGGAATCCCGTCCCATTCTGGTCAAAGAAAGCCATCAACCAGCAATATAAATGAGGCTCGGGTGTTTCATTTTTGGAGGGGATCTGGAAATCAAGAGGACGAAGTGCTGTCAAATTGGAGATTGGAGCACGAATTTTAGAGAGTTAGCAGATCTTGGCGGAGTTCTTCAACAAAGCAAGAGTTCGAGAGATCTGAGACTCATTCCACCCTCCTCCGGATTTAAGCTTAGTCTTAAATCCCGAGAAGAGTCGTGATTTTGCTTAGTCAAAATCGCCGCTACTGCAATCACTTCCTTCGTGAAGCGAAAGCATTAATTATCCAAACTTCTGCTCACCAGATCTGATCCGTAGGCAGTCCACGGATAAACCCCGACACCGGCAACGATCCCGCACAAGCAATAGGCGATAAACTTCTATTGTGTGTAGTTTGAGAGAAAATTGTAACTTTTGATTTAAAGTCTTATAAAAAGGCTATATTTGTTGTTTGAGTTTATTGTAAGTGTTTGATTTAAAGTCTTATAAAAAGGCTATATTTGTTGTTTGAGTTTATTGTAAGTGTTTGAAGCTGTAATGAACTCATCAATGAAATCAATTTTCCACCCAAACAGTTGGTTGTGAATGTTACGGGTTGGTTGTGAAGGATACACGTTGGTTGTGAAGGTTACGGGTTGGTTTGAAGGACACACGTTGGTTGTGAAGGTTACGGGTTGGTTGTGAAGGACACATGTTAGTTGTGAAGGTTACGGGTTGATTGTTAAGGTTACGAGTTGGTTGTTAAGGTTACGGGTTAATTGTGAAGATTATGTGTTAAGGGTGGGCAGAATACTTCAAAGGAAATTGGGGTTTGGAAGCAATTTCCCCAAAGATATAACATCACTCTTTGATCATAATATCTTGAAAACTATAAGCTAAACAAATCACAGCCAATCACATATCAGGTGCATCGAAAACAAATTAAGCATTAGAGTACGGTACAATCACCGACATTATCTGCTATTTTCATCTAACAAATTACAGTAGCAACAGTGCCAGGAGCGCTTACAACGTGAATTATACGCCATACAACTTACCAAAAAAACATTGCATGTCTTCACCACAAATACCATGTTAGAAAAGACCGTGTGGGTTCCCGCTGCTGCTTCACTATGTTAGGATATTTATGAGAAATGTACAGGTACATAAAACCCACGTCCACCACCTGTAATATTAAACACTGAGAATAAAAGGTTACGGAGTTGATTGTGTTGATTGTGAAGGTTAACTTCACAACCAATGCGTAATCTTCATAGCCAACACTTATCCTTAACAACCAATTCGTAACCTTAACAACTAACACGTAACCTTCACAACCAACACGTATCCTTCACAACCAACCCGTAACCTCCACAACCAACCCGTAACCTCCACAACTGACGCGTATCCTCCACAACCGACCCAAAACCTTCACAAATCCCAGAAGCTCCGCGCATGCTCGATCACGCTCGCCGGAGGTGCAGGTTGAGGACCAGAGGTGCTTGTCGACGACGAGGCCGGTGTAGGAGATGTAGAAAGCGGTGGTGGCACTAGGGTTTAGGGTTAGGCATAGGTGGTTAGGCATAGGTGGGAGAGCATGCGGCAGTGGTAGATGATCTCAGCGGCGAACTGGTCGGTGGAGAACCAGAATGGGTGATACGAGTTGCCGTGCGAGCACCTTTGATCGCGGAATTATCAAAGGTGGGTTGAGAAGAGGATGACAGAAACACAAGCACAATTCAGTATATGGCGAAGAAAATTACCTTCTCTAGATTATGAGTATGAAAAGATTACAATCCCTCTCTCACAATCTCACTAGAATCAAGAACAAACTCTTAATTCTCACTAAACCCTAATACAATGATTAGAATTTCTCTTAATTACCTCTAATTGTTTAGAAACCCTAAAACATTCCTTTATATAGGTGTACAAACGTGGGTGACAATCTGGTAAATAACCAATCCAAAAACCAACAGGAATTCGTGTGAACAGAAACCCAAACAAACCAGGAAACCATCGATGAGTCGACTCATGACTGAGATGAGTCGACTCGTCCGAAACTGGACAAAGCACAAAAGCCAGCGATGAGCCGACTCATGACAGTCATGAGTTGACTCAACCTGATGAGTCGACTCATGACTGTTATGAGTCGACTCACGGACTGAAAACTGGATACTTTGATTCTGCTGCTCGTCGTCTCGTTCCACGCTTCCACCTACGTTCCACTGTACTGTTTTACACCCCTATTCTCATGTTATCATGAGAATCATCTATCCTCAAGCCCCCATGAGGATCGCTAAGTTCCGAAGAGAAGATACACCCGTATCAATGGGAGGAGGTACGAGGGGACGAATCCGACGAGATCGATGGTGGCGCTCAGTCTGAAGCCGCCGTTGGAGAGGGCATCGTAGTGGGAGGTCCAGGGGTTTAGGTCGGCGTAGTTGTCAATCAACTCCTTGTTGAAGAATAGGACCAGGTCGTAGACAAAGACTTTGCTTGAGGTGCACTCGTCGGGGGTGGATACGGTGGCGGTCGGAGGTGGAGAACGACGGGGGTGGAAGAGAAATGGCAGGCGGAGATGAGGATGGCGAGTTGGATGATGAGGACGACGACGAATAGAAGCTCGCGCTGGCAGGGGCTGAGGGATTCCAGTTCTTGATTCTTCCCGTTGGATCATGAAAAAAAGAGAGAGAAAGAATGGGTATTATGGTCTTCACATATTTTAAACTCTTGGGTTTGTGTTTTGGGGCTCGGGGAATAATGAGTTTACTTTTGGGGGTTTTGGGAGCGTTGAAAAAATCTTGGGAGAGGATGGAACTGTTGTTAGGAAATTAGGGGCTAGAAGCAATTTCCCCTATTTTCTAACAAAATTTTCTTATAAGCAGTTAGAGCCGTGTGTTGCGCCAGGGCCTGCGAGCCTAAGTGCTTAGACCCAAATATTTGCATGTTATTTGGAGCAAATGACTGCCAAAATGACTAGCTATTATTACACTTGATTCTCATGACTCATCTTATAAAATCATCTATAATTTTGTAAGTTCCCCATATAAAACATATAAATAGACCATCACACTGCGCTATAATTCATGTTAAGAGTTAAAAATAACCTTCTTTTATTTCGCATTCACTAGATGAGTACATCTATCTACATATATAAACGTGCAATTATATTTTTACTCACTCTTGAATTAAATACATATACCAAGAGTTCTAACTGTATCTTTTAACCACAAAAAATTGTTTCAAGTGTGGCATAAAGAACAAAAAAAGCAGATAGTCAAATATCAAAAAATTTAGCTTGTCGTTCTAATTAAACTTGCATGAAGCTTAACCAAACCCACCCTTAAACCTCATGGAGAACTGATCACCCAAAAAAAAAAGAAGAAAGGGTAAGATTTGTTACTTAAAATAGAAGGAAAAAACCTCAACGCCACATCATCATTTGCACAAATGCTTTCAAAAGTTGCAGTTTATATTTAGTTCACGACTTCTCATGACTTCCTCTTTCTGATATCCTTGATTTGTATCCTTGACAAGAAAGAATCAAACAAAAAAAGTCCACCCACCAAACCCCACATCCACTCTCCCATAGCCATGATCATGATGGTGACCATCATGATATGATGATGAAGCATTTTATGGAATTTTTATAATTTGACCTCCTCAAGCCTAACACCACCAAACCTAATCATTCAAATTAAAGTGGCGAAAACGCAAAAATGTCCAAAAATCCCTAATTAAGTATCAATCAATAAAATCTCTCTCTCCTCTCTTTCTCACTTTTTTTTTTCAACTCAATTTTCGCATTCCTTTTTACCCTCCCGAACCATTTGAAAACCCCAAGAAAGAGACCCCTTTCGCTCATTCTCTCTCCTCTCTCTCTCTCTCTCTCTCTCTCTCTCTCATGAGCATGATGAAGTGAAGTGAGGGCTCTCTCTCTCTCTCAGCAGACATCCAATCTCTATTTCTTCGTATGAGAACAAAAAACCCCATTTCTTTTCTTGGGCTTCCTCAATCCCCACTAAAAACCCCCCTTCTCCCCTCTCTCTCTCTACCCTTTTCCTCGCTTTTTCCCCCTTTCAAATCTCAATCTCCAAATATCATTCATTTTATTGCCTTTTTCTCATCTGGGTCTCTCCAATTTCCCCCCTTTTGGGTCTTTCCCCATCTGGGTTTTTTGATTTTTCCTCATTTGGGCTCTTAGATCTGCTGCTACGAGGTCAGAATCTTTGTTATTTATCTATAGGTATTTGTATTTAGTTTGTAGTAATTTGGGGGGAAGAACCTGATGATTTATAAGCTGAGATAGACTTCTTATGATGCAAATTTATTATAAGAGGAAACATAGGGTTGAGGTGTTGTTTGGGTTTTCGTGGTTGCAATCAGTTGTTAGCTTGCCCATTTTGTACTATGTCATGGTGCTGCTGCACGCTTGTAGAAATCCCCCATTTCAGAGATTTATGAGCAGGGTTTGGATTATGTAGTGTTGGGTTGTAGTTAAATGGGCAACAGCACTTCTCGAGTTGTTGGTTGCTTTGTGCCCGCAGGCAATGGGAAGGATGGTGTCAATCTTGAGTTCTTGGAACCTTTGGACGAGGGATTAGGCCATTCCTTTTGTTATGTTAGGCCAGTTATTGTAGATTCTCCGGCTATAACCCCTTCAAACTCTGAGAGATACACTGTAGATTCGAGCACTTTTGATTCGGAGACGCATAGTGGTTCTTTTAGGCAAGAGATAGTAGAGGAGCTCGCCGGATGGAATAGATCGAATAAGAATTTTGCTGAGACCACATTTAAGACTATATCGGGAGCTTCTGTTAGTGCAAATGCATCCACTGCTAGGACTCCCAATGTATTATTAACCGGTGATGCTCAAGAACCCGCTGCCTTATTTGAGAGCTCAGCTTCGTTCGCTGCCATCCCTCTGCAACCGGTGCCTCGTGGGTCCGGGCCCTTGAATGGGTTCATGTCGGGTCCACTGGAGAGAGGGTTCGCCTCGGGGCCTTTAGAGAGAGGTAGTGGGCTAATGTCTGGGCCTCTTGATAAAGGTACTTTCTTGTCGGGTCCTCTTGATTCTAGTGATAGGAATAATTTCTCAGCTCCATTGGGTTATGAAAGGAGAAGAGGGATTGGACGACTAATGAGGAGCATGAGTAGGCCTATGAGGAGTGCTCTTTCTAGGACATTTATGAGAAGATCACAGGGTCCTGGTTGGATGCAAAGGTTGTTCTTTCATTCGAAGGAGGAAAAGTTTCAAGCAGAAGTTCAGCGGGATTTGGCAGAAGTGGGGCCTTCTGAGCCTGAGTATAGTAATAGCCGAAACTTGCAATGGGCCCATGGAAGAGCTGGAGAGGATAGGATATACGATGGCTTTAGTGGCCCTGATGCGCCGGATTTTCTCATGAGCAATCTTTATAAAGCTATAGATAAAGAATTGGAAGGTTTGCTTTGGGATTACGAAGATAAATCTCAAAAGACTCCGATAGTGTCTGGCCCGATGGAAAGGGAGGCTGTTGAAGCTCTTTCAGAAATTGTGGCAGGGAAATGTTTTGCATCACAGATCGCTGATGATGAAGTTGAAAAAGATCACGAGAGTTTGTCGTCATGCAATGAATGTAGCCAAGAACAATGTGAAGAAGGTGTTGCAACTACTCAGCTGAACGAAGGCGAGAGCAGAAGCAAACTAACTCTAGACACATCATTAGGCCACAAATCCATACAGGATGATGAGGTATTAGAAGAAAAAGATAGTACCATGGTTATAGATCAGGTGCAAGCGACAAGTGAAATTAGTGAAAACTACAGCGCAAATATAACAGAAAAAGCAACAAGCACAATCAATGATCAAGGGGAGGATGCTATTGGTGCTCCAGCAACCATTTCTACACAGCAATCCAGGAAAAGCAAGCGCCTTTATGAACTGCTTCAGTTGGAGCTCGTAGAAGACAGAGAAGCAAAAGAGTCTAAATTGGCATCCGTGTCATGGAACAATTCACAATCATGTGCTGAAAGCACTAAAGTAGAAAGTTCAGGTCGCACTGAAGGGGCTGACAGTCCCAGAGAAAGTGATGGGGTGGAGAACTCCGAACAACGTAAACATATGACTTCATTTTCTTCTTTAGGACACAAGCAGATGATGAAAAGATCAATAATAGGATCAAAGTTGAGAAAGATGTATAGGAGGCAGAAAACATTGCGGAAAAAGCTTTTCCCCTGGAGTTATGATTGGCACAGAGAAGAACACCAAGTTGATGAGCCGATGTTCAACCCATCAGTAGTTGTTAGGAGATGCAAATCTGGCCCGGTTGATCATGATGCAGTATTGAGCGCAATGACACAAGCACTTGCCAATACAGAGGAAGCATATATGGAAATGGTCGAAATGTCGCTTGATAGGAATCCGGAGCTTGCACTAATGGGTTCTTGTGTTCTTGTAATGTTGATGAAGGATCAGGATGTGTATGTTATGAACCTTGGTGATAGTCGTGTCATTTTAGCACAAGATAGGTTGAATGACCGTCATGTTGGCGCCAATCATGTGAAAGATGATGCAAGGAATCGTAACAGATCTAGGGAGTCTCTTGTTCGTGTGGAATTGGATAGGATATCCGAGGAGTCTCCTATGCATAATCCCAACAACCGAGTTTGCGGCATTAACAAGAACAAGGAAATATCCCTTTGCAGATTAAAGACGAGGGCTGTGCAGCTGTCCTCTGATCATTGTACTGGCATTGAGGAGGTAAGTAATTTTCGGGAGCTTTTTTTTTTGCCTTCAGAAATTTGTTTTCCTTATACTTGTCAGATAGAAAATCTGACATGGTTTTATCATGTGAACATGCATGTACATATAAAACTTATAAATAATGTGTTATGTATTCCTTGAACATCAGCTTTGTTAGAAGAGTGATTTCCTCTTGATTTACTATGACCCTTTGGCTATGGAACCTTTAGGAATCAAGTTGTCAAGGTGTTCAGCCTTTTCGTCTTGTTTCTACTAAATTTTAACTTATATTACCTTATTCACACATGAAATGTTTTTCGAGGATTATGCCACTCACACCACCTCTACAGTACTTAACAGCTGAATCATTTTCCACATAAAGAAAAACTGGATACTAAAGGAAAGGGAATCAGGAAAAAGCTTTTCCCATTGATTTGATTTGGTATCATTGCATCAGGCTGCGTCTTCAATTATGTTAGTGGAATTTAACCATGAACATACAATCTAAAATTATCAATGTCGTGTGCCTGGTTTTAGCGTTATCTTTGGGCATCTGAAGTTTTTTGAATGATTTTTTGTTCCACGTCACCAATCCGCAAACCTTGATTCTCTCAACAGATATCTATCTGTTGTATCTGTTGAGATATTGTCTGGTTTATTTGGTCATATTTGACTGGGTCAAACTAACATCTAAAAGATGTTCATACATTTTTTTAAAGCAGTTTAGAGGCTCAAGTATTCATCTAATCAATCACAGACATGGTCCAATATCAGTAAAACTAGCGGTAGTATGTTCTATTGAAATATATCCCGGAATATGCACACTTGACATTTTACACATGCTCATGTGCTCTTGTGGTTGTCTTCCCTCTTTCTTCTCCTTTTCATTTAATCTGAATTTTATGGAAGTATTTATAGTTGCATATTATACGAGTATGGACTGTATATGTATATATGGAAATACCATTGAATTTGCACTGCTCAAATCATGGAAATTCTGTGTTTCATACCAGAACTTATACTGTATAAACTGTTGTGAAGATACTGCTATGGTTAAACATATTCCACTATTTTATTTTTTCTGTCTTCCAACAGGAACACAATTGTTATTTGTTTTTATTTCAGGAAGTTTCGAGGATAAAAGCAGAACACGTTGATGACGTTCAAGCTATTCTGAATGATCGAGTAAAAGGGCAGTTAAAAGTTACTAGAGCATTTGGTGCTGGTTTCCTCAAGAAGGTCGGAAATTTTTATGCAAATAAACTTTCAGTCATATCGTTACTACATCGATTAGCCATTCTTAACTTTAGGCTTAGAATCTGTCATTTGCATGAAGCTGACATTGAGAACAAGCAAAACTGAAGAGGTTAAAGTAATATTTCTCATTAGATGATATTAATATGGTTATTTATGAAGAATTAACCTTAGAACTTTTCACCTTCTTGGCATCCTATTATACCTCATTATTTATGGCCTAATCCTCATTACTCATGGCAATACGGCTCATTACTTCTTGGCATCCTATTATTACTCATTACTCATTATTTATGGTGAAACTGAAAACTTTTGAAGTCAGATCATATCATGTTCAAAGTCATTTTCTTGTTCAAAGCCTTTTTCTTTCATTCAATGTACTAAGGCTTGACTTTCCATATCTCTTACTTCTATTTATGTGATAGTTGCATTAAAGAAGATCTTGTTTCTTCTTTTCTTGTCTCTTCTTCTTGCTGATTGCTGAAGTATGAGTAATAATCACCTATTCCCTCTTTGCTTTCACTACTTTGAAAATTACAAATTTACAATTTTTCATCCCTAGTCATTTCATATTTGGCAATGTAGCATCACACATATCATTATTCCTGAACGGGATAAAGTACATCATAACATTATTTTTTTACATTTATTCATGCTGTACATTCCAATACCTATGTAGCACGGACACGGATCCGACACGGCCATCCGACACGCCGACACGAGGCAAATCCTAAAAAATACCTAGGATACGTGTGTTCGACACGTGTGTCCGACACGGACACGACACGACACGGCTTCATGTTATGCGTGTCCGTGCTTCGTAGTCCAATACAACCAAATGCGTCCTGCATCGATAACATTTATACTTACATAAACATGAACATGCTTTCTGAGATAATGATGGATATGTTATTATATTGATGCATAAAAATAATCAAACTGATGGAGCAAGAGGGCACCTCATTCAACATCCAATTGTATAGGTAAACATATGCAAGAGGTCAATTGTAGGTTTAAATTAATATCTGGATTAGGTTTTTAAGTTTTGTCTTCCATGTTTTAGAATTATTCCAAGGTAAATGGTCTTTATTTGAATTGATTCACCCGGTCAAATAGGCAAATCCCTAAGTTTGCTATGTTGGCCTTATGAATCCTTCTGCGCCTATCATTCTATTAGTAGCCGTAGTATACACTTCTGTTCATTCATCTGGGCATTATGTTTTCCTTCCCTTTTAAATCACCTCACAAAAGAGTGGGTTACTCTGTTAGTTAGGGCTTCACCAGCTCTCCAGTTACATGCCCATGCCATTTTAACCAGTCACAAAAAATTTACCTCAATCTGTACAATTCCTGTGTTTCAATAATACTCAAACTTTGTTTTTAAACCACACCTTGTTGTTCTAATTTCCACTGCATTAATCTTATTTTTTTGTTCTTTAACTCGCATCTTGGTCATTCCTGGTATCTTGAACTATATGAAATTTTTAGCTTGGTCAGGATCACCAATGTTGCTAGATGCTAAGCTTATCATTGTAATCATTGTTGGCATTTGACTCATACATGAAACGGGTCAAGATTTCCTTTAGATGGGGTTAGTAATCTTTGGATACTTGCTATGTCAATATATAATTCTTTAGAATAGATGCTTATTCATGTTAAGGAAGTGCCACAAAAGATGGTGGATGTTTGGTTTATTGCTATGTTGATATATAATTCTTTAGAATAAATGCGAATTCATGTTAAGGAAGTACTACAAAAGATAGTGGATGTTTGGTTTATTTTTGATATCATTTGTATCTGTTTTGGGCTCTCATTTTCTGACAGTACATAGAGGAATTTCTCAAGAAATATATGCTTCTCCATAGTGGCTTTTTTATGATATTTTTATGTGCGAATTTTTTCTAGTCTAAATTATCTAATTGAAGATGAAGCCTGTACATTAAATATTTACATCAAAGTCATTGACTGTTGCTTATAGCTTGCAATGTTCCGTAGCATTAAGTCTTCGTCTCTATGAAAATAATGAAAGATATATACCCTTTACCTATAATTTGGAAATTGCTGATTATGTTTCTCAGTGTCTATAGCATCTCTTATTATTTTCATTTTATTTCCCTCTTTCGCGGAGAAAGGGCCATGGTTCTAATTACCATTGGTGAAAGTCATATCATAAAAAAAATAAAACTTAATGCACATAAATATCTCGAGGTGATCCACTGGATTGAACTAAAAACTGAATTAGCATTACCTGTTTCATGGTTCCTTTCATGCTTTCGGAACTTAAAAAAATTGGTTAGCGTTACTTGTTAGATTTACTTATGCTAACATTTTTCCTGAATGCAGCCAAATGCTAAACATTTTTCCTGAATGCAGCCAAAGTTCAATGATGCTTTGCTCGAGATGTTCCGGATCGACTATATTGGAAGCTCACCTTACTTAAGCTGCATACCTTCAGTGCTGCATCATCGTCTCTGCTCAAATGATCGGTTTTTGGTCCTATCTTCTGATGGGCTTTACCAGTATTTCAGCAATGAAGAAGTCGTATCTCATGTTGCATGGTTTATGGAAAATGTCCCTGAAGGAGACCCTGCACAGTATCTTATTTCTGAGTTACTGTTTCGTGCAGCTAAAATGAATGGTAAGTTAGCATCATATGTCAGTGTTACTGGTTACTATTAATGTTGCAACTACTAATAATGTTCTTATCTGTTATCATGATGATAACTCCTACGACTGTAGTCCTGCTTTTCTTTGATAATTGATTCGTTATTCTCTGTTAAAGACGTGTAACATGACTATTAATTTCCAGATAGTGACCCCCCATCATGAAGATAATACTGAAGCTCGTTTGCAAATGATATTTATGAACACTGATCCATGACCAAATGAGCCCTGAGTGTAGATGTCATTAAACCTCCCTGAACTATTGGGGTTTTTGTGGGTGACCTCCAGAACTTTTTTTGCCTACCAAACACCTCGAACCTTGGGGTCTCTCACAAGAGTTACCCTAAACTTTAAAATTTTCCCACAGATCCCCCTAACCCCCCAAACCCCCCACCCCCGTGGTTTTAGGTCGAAAAAAAGTGGCTGAGTGGCAGTCGGCCAACACGTTGTTGTTGGCTTGGTGTGAGCGCAGTAAAGATGGTGTTGGGAAGAATCAGAATTTGTTTTTTGTTTTTTGTGCGTATTATTATTATTATTATTGAATGGGTTTTTTTGGGGGTTGGGGGGGGGTGCGTTGGGTTTTTGGCGGGGGGATTTTTGTAGGCCCCCTTCCCAACACACAACACACAGAAGAGTTCAGGTTTTCTTTTTAAATTTACCCGTTTTATATACCCTCCTACACTTGCTTAAGATCATTGATCATCTCTTTTTTGCATATTTCTAGGGTTTTATGTTTTAACATTTTAGGGGCAATATGCATATTAACCTATGTTCTTTTCATGCATCCTTTCCCTTCATATTCTTCTGCTATTTATGTTAACTTTTCATTCATTCTCTTTTGTCAAATCTCGAACTCTCTGTGCAGGGATGGACTTTCATGAATTGCTAGATATTCCTCATGGTGATCGGCGAAAATATCATGATGATGTTTCTGTAATGGTGATTTCCCTTGAAGGACGGATTTGGAGGTCATCGGGGTAATTGTTTTTTCACAGAGCAGGTATTGCATCAAGAAGATAACAAGATGTAGCAAAACTTCTTGAAGAAAAGTGGCATCTTGTGCTGTAATTGTTTCTGTTTTTTCTTGCGGCTCTCCTCTGAGCTCCTCTTTTTCTTCCATTGTGTTTTTAACAGTTGCAGGGTTGGTCTCTTAGTGTTCTTTGTAATGTTGGTGTATGCCCGGTCATCCAATTGATGGACTGCTTTCAGTCCAATATATTTCAAAATTTTCCTTGATTGGATGAAAGGTTAAAAAGAGGGGAAATTAATTGTTGATCAATTTTTATATTTTTATAAATATTTTGGAGCAATATTTTTTTCTCGATGAGAGTATGTCCATGCTCGGATATAGAGAGGTGCGTTTGGTTCCTTGGTTACCTGTGACCGGGATTAGTGGGACTGGGGTATTAAACCCCATTGTTCGTTTGGTTTTATTTTGGTACATTATGGGACTGATATTGAAACAAGTTTTTATCTCCAAGCTTGTACAAATTATTTTGATTTCTTTGGTTTATATATATGTTGGTTCTGTACACCTTTCAAAAACATTAAACTATTTATAAGATCCTATAGTGTAATGAGAGAGATGACGGTTATATTTCATTGTAAACTATAATCTATAGATCATCTGCTAATTAATACATTAATTGCTTATGAAGAAAGAGAGAAAGTAACTATTTTTTCTATCTTATTGGGAGAAGATAATAGAGATTTTCTTTATCAGTGAAAGTAGATAATTTGAGTGGTAGGGTTTTTCTTAGATAAATTAAAATTTAGTTTGAAAGTTAAAAATTAACCAACTTAACCACCAACCTTCATATATAAATCCGAATAGGAATTTATAGTTTTTTAAGAATTAACAAAATGATATAGGATGATATTTTTGTTGAAAGAGATTTAATTGGAAAAGAACATAGACATTGTTTGGTTGCTTGTGAGACTGTGATTGGGATTTCATTGTTATGCTATTTCAATCAAATCTCATGTTTGGTTCCCTGGGGATTGGGGATACGGATGGGAGAGGACTTTCGTCTATTCCCAAAATAGGTAGTAAGAAGTTTCACTACCCCATGATATTAGGAACATAGGACTTCCGATAATCATTATACTCCAACTCTATGCCTTCCTCACACCAATAATACCATCATTGTACTAATGTAAAATATGTTAAATTAGCGAGTCATCTGTAATTTTAGAAATTTTTCGTGGTGTTGTTTGTAATTTTGAAACTTTCACATGATTACTTGTAATATTCTAAAAATTTAGGGACTGGCTATAGAAAATTTTAGGGGTTGTTTTGTAAAGTTTTTAAAGAGTTATTTGTAATTTTTAAAACTTCTAAGGGGCTAGTTATAAATTATATTTTGGTTTTTGTAATTTTTTAAACTTTTAGGGGGCTGTTTGCAAAAAATTTAGAAGGGTTTTATAAAATTTTTATGTGATGTTTATAACATTCAATATTTTTAGTAGATTTGTTATTTTTGACATTCATTCGGGTGGTTCTAAAATTTTTAAAGGGTTGTTTGTAAAATTTTCAAGGGGCTAGACTTACTTTTTAAAACTTTAATTTTTTTTAGATTAGAAGGATTTTTGTAATATTAAGAATTTTCATGAGGTTGATAATTTTTGGATTTTATGGGGACACTGTAATTTTCAGATTTTTAACGTGCTATGTGTAATTTTCTGATTTTAGAGGTTATTGGCAATTTTTGAGTCCCAAGGGTTTTTTTTTTGCACTTTTCTTATTTATTACAAATGAAAATTAACAACAAAATTCCAAAAGTTTTAGAAATTACAAATAATGTCCTGGAAGCTTCCGAAATTACAAATAGCCTCTTGAAAAGTTAACAAACACCCTCTGGATGTTTAAGAAATTATAAATACCCCTTTGACTTTGCAAAAAACATGAAAGTTAAAATTTGCAAAATTTTGTTAAAAACCCTAAAAGTTTTGAACCTTTTCAAACAAGTTTACTATATTGTTGATGTCGGTTATCAAACATGAAATTTTAGTATGGATTATGTTCGGTTTTAGGGTTCCTTGATCTTCTTCGATGATTGGATATAGGGCAGAGAATTCAGTCCTACACACAAATAACGTGTGAGAGGATCAAAGTTGAAATCTCCGGTGTTTCCTTCGACGATAAGTCAGTAGAGAGCTTAAATGGAGAAGAAAGTAAGATTGTAGTGTATTTATTTGTAAAAGATTGCTTACCTCT